CAATTTGTTCGCTAACCGAATCGTTCTTGTACCGAAACGTCTACAATTCTACTATTTAAAATGTCAATGAATCAACAGTTTAAAAAATGTATTGACAGATCAAGTATTTAAAACGTCAATAAATTGTCAGTCCTGTTACTCTAAATGTCATTCAATTCATCAAATTTTAATTATCCAATTAACTCTAATCCTATCCGCCAAATATGCAAAAAAAATAAATAGATGCATAAATCTTATGATCTCATGCCGGCGCCGCATTGATTCAGAATTAATGAGCAACGCCATACACATATTCCTTCCTTTCCTGCATTTCAGTTTGTTTATGGCGTCAATTAAAAAAAAACACCGAAGGCAAACAAAAAAATATCGAGGTATTGCTCAAGATTAACATTTCATATGTATGCAAATCAGGATTCAACGTAATACATAACAAACATGACCCAGTAACTCGCATGACTTCATACACTTCTAGAAACCGGTTGAAGAAATGCAAAAAAAAAGATAATAATTTCTGTACTGAAAATATTTGCTCGCGAATCTTAACTTGATTACGCGACGCAACGTCCGAAAATATACATGACCAAAAAAATATGTTTCCAAGACCGATTGATGAGTGTGTCACTTGTTTTGTATGTAGCCGTGTGCAGTTGTTAATGAATAACCATCACTTTCATTCTCTGAAGGCAAATTCGTTTATGCAATACACTTTCTTATGAAATAATTTATTCATCATGTTCAAATCATTTCTTACAATTAATTGCGGAAATCCTGTCTAGAAAAACTGTCTAGATGTGTTTAAAAATTAATATAATTTGTAATATACGTCATTTTTACAATTATAAATAGTATTGAAGAGTGATAGAATGGAACCTCGTAAATTAAGATTTTATTATTCAGTGGAACCTCACCTAACGAGCATAATCCGTTCCAAAATTGCCGGATTTTTACTCGTATAGTGAAACAATTTTCCCCATATAAAGTAATGTAATGTGTTCCATATTGCGAGTCATTTTTCTTACAATTTATTTTGCTCGATAAGCTAGGTTCCACATTAAATATTTAACAACGCATTTCAATAATCCCAATAGGTAGTAGTAATCAGTACAGTAAAACCTTGTGCTATTTTTTGTAGCTACTATTTATTGCACATAAATCAATTGTAATTATTGTATTACTCACTACATTTCACATTAAAATTTTACTTACTGACATTTCATTGAGTAGCTTAAATGATGTTTTGTATGAGTAAACATAAATAATATCCAAATGAAACAAAATAACCTTCAATCAAAATAATAAAAGCATACAATTATTTGTTAATGATAAAGAAAGAGAAACTTCAATTGTGATAGAAAAGGTAACGATGAGAAGCGTAGATAATAAAATTTGAGCAAACTAAAAAACGTGCAACATTTTAATGGAGTTATGATTATATGAACAATGGGTGAAAGTAGAGCGCCGAAGTTCACATACACTACAAATTGAATTAAACACAATGACCCTGCAAAAAAAAAAGCAGAAAGTTGAAAATTAGGATGTAGTAAGTATTAGTTTGTATAAAATATCCATATACAGTGGAACCTCGCTTAACGAGCTTAATCCGTTCCAAAATTTCCGGATTTTTACTCATATAGTGCGTATAAACATATTCAAAAATACACATAATATGTGTACTCAAGTTTTAAAAAGACGCGCAATCCGGGATCTTCTCATCTTCACTCATTATGCGAAACTTCACTCGTTAAGAGTTACAATTCGTTTTGCTCGTTAAGCGAAATGCTCGTTATGCGAGGTAAGATTATTGGCTCGAAGAACGAAATGGTAACATTATAAAATAGGTATAAACATTTACAAAATTAAATAAATTCTTGAATACTCAAAAAATGAATAAAACCACTGTTTACTTATTAATTTCTTAACAGAAGCATAAAATACACTCTGTTTTACTGATTTTTTGAAGAATAGAGGATTTATTTAAATTAAAAATTCAGAATCTGTTTAGTTTAAAATGTCCTTTTTCTTTCATATTTTTACCAAATTTATGTAGTTTTGTATAAGTTGCTAATGTAAAAAATATAAATAAAACCGTCGTAAAACAGAATCTAATTGTATTTATGATGTCTATAGCAAATGTATTTATTGATATTGTTAGTGCAAATTGTGGGAATCCCACAAAGGAAATGAAATATTTATCACCGTGTTAATTTTAAAGTATAAACAGGTAAATATATCGCTGCAAGATCTGTCGGTATTCAATGCAATTTATAAACATTTAACGAAAGCCAAAGGATAATAATTACGAAACTATTATATAACCGCACATTAAAACACTTTTCGTAAATACTTAATGATTCAATTTTAGCGACTGGATGTTTATTACACATTGTATTTGTGTTTCTATTTCAACATAAAAAAAATGATGATCTCATCTACACAAAACGATATTCAGGTGAAAATCCAATAGATTTTTCTATTAAATCTCATAAAATAAACATTATTTGCAATTACTGTAATTACTATATGATCAGTAAATACTACAAACAACTTCAATTATTATTATTTAAAAAAAAAATGATTGCATTTCAAAAATTAAAAAAAACTACTATTGAGGCAATAATTACATATTTGTTGTTATGAAGTTTGGAAACATTTATATTTTAAAAATCCATAAATTTTAGATGAGTCTGAAAAATTCGGTTTATTTTAGATGAATTAACAATTAAATTGTGCACATTTAAAATTTAAAAACTATTTGGTGTTAAGCTTATTGATGAAAAAAATACATTTAGATGACTACTAGATGATCTTACCTTTTTCTTATCCGCCATGTTGAAGGATTTTGCATTAATTTAGGTACATCCAAGCACACTAAACACAAAACTTGCACTCACTAGAGTCTTCGATATCCAATGCCAAACTAAATGTCAATATTTGTTTAGAACAATTCCAGCTCGAATGACATAGCCGATGGTTCTTTTTTTAGCGAATGACCATGATAGGTGGATTTACACCGCTTATAAACATAAGAGACAACACTGCCCGATGATCTAATACAGAATCCAGCATTCCAATAAAAGATTTGAGGTCATTACAATCGTTTTAATGTTCGCTGGCGCTCCGACGAGCATACACTTCTCCAACAGTTCGTTATTTACTAAAAACGCACCTACGAAAGTCAAGGTACAGAGTCATAAATCACAACCATATGAATGGGACTTCGTCATAATGCAAGTGCCGTCGCACATGACTATCCAAGTGAATCAAAATACACTTGACTCAGCCGCACTTAAAATAATGGTAATTGGAGACCTTGCAGAATCAAAATTATAAGTAATATGCTTTTATTCGAGGTTTTGTTATGTTTGTAACTATTTCAATTTATTTATAAAGGATAAGCCCAAGTGCGTTCCCTTGAGACACATTATATTTGTTTAAATAAATATCAGGAAAATGTTCATCCACTAGATTAAAGCTATTTCACTGTAAGTAATAGCTTCAATCAAGTGGATGATTGAAGCTCGATTAACGAATAGGATACACTTCAAGAAATTCGTTAAGTGAAACTTGGATTTCAGAGGTAAAAGTACTATGGCCAGAATAAAAAAAATGTTTTTTTTCGAACAACGTAAGTTTCTAGTACAACTTTTGGTCATATTAAGTCGGGCGTTTGCCTTAAGTCGCAATACAGTGGAACCTCGCTTAACGAGCACCTCGCATAATTAGCATTTCGCTTAAGGAGCAAAATAAATTCTAAGAAAAATGACTCCAAAATGGAACGCATTATCGTATTATATGGGTATTAGTTTATATGGGGAAAATTGTTTCACTATACGAATTATAATCGTTAAGCGAGGTTCTACTGTATTTGTAAGCCCAATGAAATTGCGGGCAATGGTAAACCGAGGTATATCTATAATGGTAAATTTTGGTACCAATTCATGTTTATTAAAAATGCACTTTTTAAAGGATATAAAGGATAGGTCAAAGAGGAACACCCTATAATATTCAAGTGAAATAAATACAAGTAAAATATTAATAAAATTTAGTTTATTAAATAACAATGATAGTTATTAAATAATACAAAGCAAAAAATAAATGAAATAAATTTAAAATACTATTAAATAAATGACTCACGTCCATCCGCTTATAAACCTGGCGATTGTTTACAAACGGATGTAACATTGCACTCACAGAAAAAAAAAAATAATCAACATACATCGTGTTACACTCCTAACGATGACATTTTTTTTTTCGAAACAAAAAAAAACAAAATTTGATAATTCTCGTGAGGTCGCAGCCTCGAAAAATAAAATGTATATATAATTTAATATCATATAATAAAGGGTTATTATGAATACAAAAAAGGGTAATTATAGAAAGTAGTGTATTAGTTGTAATCGTAAAGACATAAATAAAGAAAATGGTCCCCCTTAAAGCCAATTCGAACGAAACGAAGAGAAAAAAAAATAAACAACAGTTGTAAATAATTATAGAATACGAAATATTTATAAGAAAAAAATAATTAAAAAATTTACATTTACAAGACAAGCGCGCTTTTCAGTATCCATATAATTTTTGTTTTGTTTACAGACACACGAAATATAAACAACGAACAAAATCGAAATATTTCAATTCTTCAATAAAATAAAAATCACATTGTTTAGCATTCATTAGATATTCCAATTTAAATAAAAAAAACGGTTGTTTTTATATATATATTATATTCCTAACTATATACTTTTTTTTTCTTGGTAATATCAATAGGAATTGCCCATCAATATTAACGCGAGAAATAATAATTTAAACGAAAATTAAATATAGAATTCGATTTTGCTATTTTATGGCAACTATGTAACAAACTTCCTCCATTTCATTTCTTTCCTTTTTTACTTACACAAATCAATTTACAAAAAATAATAATATAAAATAAAACATATGTATATATTATATTAAATTAAATTTACATCCTGTTTCGATTTTAAATGAATATACGTAAAGAAAATAATGGTGCATTGATTCTTTTTCATTTTAAATTAATCGGTTAATTCATTATATATATTTTTTTTTGAGAGGATTCGTCGCTTTGTCCGTGGATCGTTACGCAACTGGCGATTTGCGCTCCGATCCTTACGGGTTGGCGACGAGCTGTTTAGCATCTCTTAAAGCCGGAAAGGCTCTTTGCTCGTTGACTTCCTCATGCTTTCGTACCGCGCTGCTGCTGTTTGCGCACCGGCAGGAACGGGGGTGTTTGATCCAGATGGTGTACGGGTTCTAAAAAGCACACATCAATTCGTATGTTAACAAACACAGGTAATGGTTATTTCACATAAAGTTGGAAATCACAAGGATGAAAATCACTGTCAGGTGTATTTTTGAGGACAATTTAACAGCAGTTAAACGCGAAGTTCTGAATTTCGATTGGTTATATTGTAACTGAAAGTAAAGCCTTATTTAACCTCCTTTGGCTTTAATATAAAAAATAGACAACATTTTTTTTTGTTCATACTTGAAACTATGTAAAGATAAAAATTAATTTAAAATTTGTTATTTAATTAAATTTTAAAGAAAATTCTGATTTATTCAAGTAATTTATGTAATATCTAAATACTTTTTCTTAATGTAATTGTTTTCGTACTGACTGTAGTCTTTTCAAACTTTCATTTGATAAAGTCTGTCTTTAGATCAGAAGTTGATTAATTAATAATAGCTGTAAGAAATGGTTGTAATTTTAGTAGTTTGTAGTGTTTAAATTACCTAGATGCAGTTCTCAAAATCGGAGCATTAGAAGTAGTCACGGTTCTGGTTTTGGTAGTAGTAGTAGTGAGCCTAGTTAAAATCAAGCACATGCCAGTTAGTCATTACTATAATTAATCAATTATCGATAAAAAAAACAACAACATTAACAACGTCAATCAAAACAGGAAACACAAACTTAAAAAAAAAAACAAAAATTCAAGTATCATCAAACATGCAAACTCGGAGTCAATTTTCCAACTAACATTGGACACATGTTCAAAACTTATTTCAATTGATCTAAACTACACACTAAATGTAATGATAAAGAATAAGATAAATGCTTTTCCTTTGATCTGCATTTAGAATAAATCATTTAAAGTTCAAGGATTCAAATACATTCCTGTGGTTGTTTACATTGTTAATGAGTCAATTGTTAAGAAATTTATTATAGAAAATAGTATTTACAATCTCCTATAGACTATAAATGTACAGATCGAAGGAAAGTCATTAAAAATATAGAATTTTGAAAGATTATAAATTAATTTATGAGTAGTACATGATTAAAACATAACTGAATCTACATGATAAACAGCTAATCATGCTACTCTTTACCTATGCGAAATAGGTATTCTGGATTTGCTCGCCGAAGACTTCGAGCTGGATTAGTAAGGAAAGAGAAATGTATTAGTTAAGATTCGAACTAATAAAAGTATAAATAAAATAAAACAAAAAATGCACACAAACAAGTACACAAAAAGTAAAATCAAAGAATTCAAATTGATGAAAAGAAAAACGGAATTCATAAGGAAAACAACAAAAAATATGTAAACGAAAAAAAGAAACATCACAACGAATTCCATGCAAAACAATTTGGTTAATTTACCCAGAAGATAAAGAGACTGAGCAAGAGCTAGACGTAGATGGCGACTCTAACTCGAAATCGCCAGAGTTGCCCTTATAAACCGGTATTCGTGACCTGACAAAATCAATTATATATTTTTTTTTGTAGAAAACAGAAATCAAGACAAAAACATCAAAAGAATTATAAAGTGTATTGAGAAACATTGAAAAACGGTGATCAAGTATGTGATGTTGTTGGACAGAACAAAGAACAAAGTTGTGCGCCAAAATTTCTATTCATAGTATTGGTACTTCGTTAAAAGATTGGTATTAATGTAATCGTTCTAACTACTAATTATCGTCGTTAATCGAATATTAATCATTTCCGTTAATTTAAATTTCGTATAATCAAATGGACAAACCTTAAATGTAATTAAAGTTAAACTATAATTTAAAAATCGTCTTTCTCGTGCAAACGCCACGGTTCTCTTTTCCTGAAAAGAATAATTTAGAGAGAAAATTTAGATACGCGTAAATCGTCCAATTTTTTAGCTCAGTTATGTACCAATACGCCAAAAATCTACAACCAATCAAATATTTACAGTGTCCCGCTAATTAGTGTATGCCAATTAAAAAATACTTTCGAATACGAATAAAATTACATTGATATTAAACAGTTCTTCACATCTATATTAATAATTAGTATTAATATCGAGGAACAAAAAGTTTAACCCAGCGATTCCCAAATTTTTCGGTCTACGACGCGCTCAGTTTGGAAACCCCTGATTTAACAATTGAATCAAATTAAATTCGTATTTGTTTTTAGACCAATGTTGGTGCTCTTAATTTTGTTGTCAAATTTAGTTACCTTGGCGTCGCAATTGATGTTAATGTCGGTATACTTGATGCTCTCTGAATGCCGGTTGATCTAGTAATGTTATAATGTGTTTAGATTAGTTTAAATTTATTGGATTAATCGTCTGGATTCAATCATATTATTTACCATTAACTAGTATTATAAATTAATATTATTAATATTATGAATGCAATTGACACACAAAATTTGTCTTCAATAACAAAGATTGTGTTTTTTAAAATTAAATTTATTAACTAATTTTTAAATTTTAAGCATGTTTAAAAAATAAGAACAACAAATATATCGAAGCTTGGATTAATCAAGTTATCCGAAATATAATCAAATCTCTCTTAATCTTATATTGAAGTAGTATCTTGATTATATCACGATGACTGGTGATAGATAAGAGAATAATATAATTGTTGTTGTTACTGTGAAATTTATTACATCGGTTTAAATAATGTAATTGTTGTTCTTTTTTTAGAACTTACCTTCCGGCTGGACTAGCAGGCGAGATAAGACCAGTGGGGGTTCGTGGTCTTGAAAGGGATGTGCCGTTCAATTTGCGAGCAGCTGGGGTAGTACTAGTGCGTCCGGACATGGGGGTTCTTCTTGGAATACGAGACGGGGTGTCGTCGGCTGAAAGAAAATGTATGATGATATCTTCATGTTAAAACAATGTTAATATAGTTACCTGTACTATCCAAAGATAGGTTGGATCCATGTCTGGATGGTGGTTTGCTGCCGGGTCTGCTACCAGCTCTTGAAGCTGGCCTGGAATTGGATCTGGATCCGCCCGGCGTTAATCCAGTTCTGTATGAAGACTTCCTAGGAGTACGGTAGGATGGACCTTCGGTGTCGGACAAAGAGTCGGGCGTGCCGACGGACAACGAAGACTTCGAAGTCCTTGGAACGCTACCCGACATCGGCACAGATCTTACTGAACGCTCCCTTACCTAAATCGTAGAAGAATCGCGTATAAAGATTCGCCCAAATTGTAATTGCGTTCGAAAAGCTTTGTAGAAATTACTAAATACGACCACAAGACGAAACAATCTCGAAGAAAGAGATGAGAAAACAAAAATAAAAACCAGGTACTTACTGGAACTTACCAAGCCGATGCGAATCCATGGGAAAATTAAGTCTTACTGAAGAAGATCTCTCATTTGTTTAAAAAAAATTAAATTTACAACAAAATGAGAAACCTTCTTTTGATTGAATGTTTTGTGTTATGCAAGTATAAGATGAAAATTAATTTGGAAGAAACGACGAAAAGAGTAAATGAGATAAAATAATTAAAAGAAATTAGAGAAAGTCGTTCTTATTTTTTTTTTCCTGGTATCTTACCTATTTGTAATTTCTATGTTCTACTGTAATACATACCAAAGGGACTTGAGAGAGATACAATAACTTGTGATGATCTTTTTCTGGGCCATACATCTCAACTGCACAATCAATCAATTCAGAATAACACACCCAAGAATAAAAAAAAACCGATCGTGTAAAATCAATTAATCAATTTTCGGAGAAAATATTTTTATGCCAAATAATTCAAAATTTTGCTTCGTTTACCAAACAAACAAAAAACCGACGTATGTACAAGGTGCTTTCATTTCGGCGAGTAATGATGCATATCTAAATGGATATTCAGTACAGTGAACTAATTTTGCGGCTTTTCTTGCGGTGTCGTTTACAAATTGAAAATAAAAATTTGAAAAAAAAAATAAGGTGCGTATACACAACATACATGCAGAAACACTCAAATCACACACAAAAGTTCAACGGTTGCGGGAGCAAATTCTTCCAGAGATCTAGAGAAGTCCGAGAAGAATTTGCTTTGCAGTTTCGTTGCGAATGTACAACCCAAAACCAACACGTATATTAAATAAATATATATAAATAAAGACAGAACAAACTAATATTTAGTTAGTTTTGTTTAGTGTATATTACCCAGTGACAAGAATAAGGATTGGTGTGAGCCATGTGCACGGTGGGGCTTGTGGTAGAACCCACGTGCATGGGATACGCATTACCCACTTCTCCACGGGCCCTCAGTTGCTCGAAAATGGGCATCAACTCCGCCAAATGTTCCTCCGCTGCATACATATATCCCCAATTGTTATCAAGTGTTAAATATTACATGTTTAACTACGTCTCCATCCAACGTATACGTGAACATACACATCGAACAAATTCAGACATCAGACATATTAACAACTGGACTGGAATTTACAAACTTTCCTTTCCATTCTTCTTCTTTTTGTTAATTCTTTACACATAAACGTGTTGCATTCTCGATTGTTAAGTATAGGTACATATAGTTTAAATTGAAAGTGACCGTGTAACATTTAACTTTGATAAATAGTATAGAAAAAGTTACAATAAGAGTAGATTTGAGAATTTTGAAAAAGCGTAAATTTTGTGCCTCGATGAAACATGCAAAATTGCTGTTAAGTATATATAAAAATTCTAATAAATTTTGTACAAAGTAGTGCGTATGATGATGGTAGGTAACGAATTTTGTAATAAAATATGTCATATATATTTGTTTCTTTTTTGTCGATCGTGGGAATGTGAAAAGGATGATTTCAGTGTTTCGAAGGATTCATTGAGGGGTTCTTGATTTGTTTCATTTTCACTGTCAGTGAATCTCCTGAGGCGTAAACATCTCCTTCTTCAAATCGCATTTAGAGACAAACAGATAACACAAAATAGTAGTAGCTTACCGCATATGTTTGGTTTCTTTTTTTTTTCAAAAAACCTGTTTGGGGCCCAACCTTAGTAATACAGAAAGATCGAAGCAGGGTGGAAAAAGACTAAGTAAAGCATGCAATAGAATAACAGATCGAAAGAGAAATTACTCTTCTTTTTTTACTTACTACATTCCAATTTACGTGTGCAAATCAACTCAAGCAACATTTCCAAGATACGCCAAGTGCCAAGACTACTAAATCATCATACTATATACTATAACTAGTTTCGTGGGTGCTTTTACCAATAGCTTTAATCCGCCTCCAAGTTCCAAAAAAACAGAAACTGAACTACCGATCAGCGAATTCATCGATGGTTCATTCGAATTATGGAAGCGGTGTAAAGTGAATTGAAAGAGAGAAAAACAGGGTGCATGTTAGGAAATACCTTCGTGATGGGTCCAGTAGTCGGTGTGCGCAAAGAGCTGGCCGAAGAGCCGGATGTTGACGTCTTTGGCTTGAACGCGGTCATGGATTGAGACACACCGTCAGCCAGGATGAATTGTTCACGGAGCTCAATGTTGGTGCGGCCCTTAGCTATATATGTGTGCGATAGGGATGCATTCAGATGGGGGTATTTTTAAAGAAAACAAGGACCACGGATGGTGATTAGTTCAGAAATCATAAGAAATTAATAAAAAATAGTGGATCGGTTCGAAGAGATAACAGCCCAAAAGAAAAGAAAAATTAGTAGAAAAGAAGAAGTGAGCGACGTTTGTCGTTTGTATTAGTATAGTTTCGTATGGATCGAAATTGAATGTTTGGATGTTTTAAGGAGGAAAAGAGAGTAAAAAAAAACGAGAACAAAAAACAATAAGCATAAAAACGTCAATAAACTGTTTGTATATGACACAAGTATTGTAAAAAAGAATACAATTTTCTATTGAAATAATATCTAACATAAATTAATCTTCGATTATTATTATTACAGATTTGATAATAAAAATTGTCCTTAGTACATTATTAACATTAATAAGTACCATAAACATACTATTTTTTGTTGAACAGTATAAATATCGTTTACTTTAGAATTCAATAAGTTTAGGCTATAATGGAAACTCATTGAGAAATATTGTTGTTATATTTTGATATATGATAATTTCATAATTTTCTAATTTCTAATCTATGATAGATTTATATTTCAATTGAAATTTGTAAGGCACTTGACAACACCAACTAATCTAAATACTTGTGCAAAAAATAATGAAACAATATGTATATACAGGCAAAGACTAAATATATATAAATAGTACATTTTTGTATAAACACAGTTTCATCAAAAAATGATTTCTGTTTCGTAAATTTAAAAAAAAACACTTTGAAATTGAATTAAAAATGAATCAAAGGCCAATATTAATTATACTAGTGATGCCTTCAGTTAACATTCATTTCAAACTACCAATGAATGATATATCTGATATGAAAGACTAAATAAAGACACGAAAAAAATAAAATAGATAATAAGAAGCATTCAGAAACATATTCATCTAAAAAGACTTACATAATAGATATGTCGAATAGTGTGTAACAATAGGTAATAAATATGTAAGTGTTAAAACATAAACCATAAAAAAGTAATCAAAACAATCCATGCACCAAGAAACAAGAACAAAAACCAATAATAAATAAAAGGTATTAAAAGCACTAGAAAACCATTCCCATTGGACGTATATAATACAAATATCACATATTAAACACCCATGCAGGCTTACCAAGTGGGCACCAAGGCTCGTGCTGTTCAGGTTTTTCGGGGTCAGGTAAAGGTAATACCAATGTAACTTATATTATAAAATGTTAAATGATAACGTAAGAAGGTGAAGAACAAAAAAAAATGGAAAACAAAAAAAAAACAACGATGAACCGTGTAAAATAAATGCAAAAAAAATAATGAGAAAAGGATTAATTAGTGAATGAGGGCGAATTAAATATATAAAAAAAGAGAGAGAAAACAAATTAAATAGATTAGTACAGACGCAGCTACATCGCATCGAGGAAGTTACGTTGTCAAAAGCGTGTATGTTCATCTCACAGCCGAGACAAATAGATACAACAGTTTAATAATGTTTCGATTTTGGTACGAGTTAATAACAAAACGTAAATCAAACTATAATGGGGATGAGAAATAAACATGATGCGTTTCGATGTGATGAATTAATTCGTTTTCAATGCGATGATTGGAGTGAACCAGCCGAAATACATACAGAAGCGATTATATTACGATGATGATATGTGTGGCTTTTCCTCAGGAGAGAGACAGTTAATTGTTTTTATTTTGTAATTTATACTTATTTTTTTTAAGTTTTATTATTTGTTTTAATTGGCGGTAAAATTTTGGAGATTTATATAAGGTAGGTCATTTGGGATTAATCGTTTTATATATTATTATAATTCATATTTTAGTTCGTTTAGTGTTATGTATATATAATCCATAAATATAAAATTATTTTCCCCTTAAATATTTGTTTAAATTAATAAACTTTTTATGTATGTTGTAAAATGTAGTTTTTTTTTGTATAAGAATATGTTCTTCAATTGTATTTAATTCATTTTTTTTTAGAAACAATACATTAAGAGTACGACTGGAGTAGGTTACGTTTAAGCCCCATATCTTATTATATATAGAATCTAGGGAGAATTGCATCCATGCATTACGTAACATAATATGTTGGCATTTTATATAATTATTGAACAAACATTACGTTATATCTAATAAACTATTTTAAAATGTTATTATAGTGAAGAAACTGCTTTGAGAAATACTAAAAAAAAACCTTATCCTGTGAAAGAACTGGCAATCGATTTAATTCAATAACACCTTAAAAAGTGATTTATCAGATAATAGCTGCTTTATATAAAATATACCACAACCAAATTCTATTAAACAAGAATATGTACACAGTAATACTCCTATCCAATCTTAATATTAATGTAATGCTTCTATTGTGTATTCTAATAGTAATGGAAATAAACATACCTCGGCAAGGATCGTTCTTAAGCAAGAACTCGTCCAAGGCGATCCAACCACCTCCGACACGTACCATCACGGTACTGCGAAGGATACGTACAAGTCGTAACTTTTGACTATCACCGAACTGTAATAGAATACACATGATTAAAGATTCAAAGAGTATTGTATTAATTCAAAATATTTACCCTGTATTTTCCTTCGCCGACTTGGAAAACGCGGAATTTCTGTCTGCAAGTACACAGCATCACAAGCCTTTTAACTTCATCGTGTATCTTTTGAGCATCGTTATCCGGTTTCTTCTCCTCCCAATCGGGCCTGAGAGCAGCAATGAACTCCTTCCAGTCGATCAGACCGCGATTATTTCTATCGAACATATCGGATACTTCCTTCATTTCCAATCGGTTCGTATCGAATTCTGAAAAGAAGCATTTACAAATTAAATCTTTGAATAGAAAATAAAAACAAGAAAATGAAACTTACTCGTGTTTATAATGCCATCAATAAAATCTTGACGGGGAATGAGATTGTCGTTATTCTTATCCATCTTTCTGAAGAGATCCGTCAGTCTGGATTTCTTGTGGTTCATGAACTTCAAGAACTAAACAAACATGTAAGGTAAGTATCAAGAAATAGTTAATATAGTTTTATAGTGAATATACCCTCTTTCTCCAATCGTCCCAAGAGAAGTTATCAGCGCGTTCTTTCTCCTTGAGGTAGGCAAGGTGAGCGTTCAAATCCCTCTGCCTTTCCCATGAAAGCATCCAGACGTGGCGCCATTTGTCCCATAGGAACTTGACACGAGGACTCTTGAATTCGGGTTCGGCACTAAACGACACACACATAACATATTAACATCTTCTAGAAATATGCAGAATTATTATTTCTGTTCTTTAAAACTTATGACTTACGAACGTAACACGGAGCCAATTTTGCAACATACTTGCATTTGATAAATTAAATTTGTCCTTAATTTTAGTATCGAATGAATGAATATCAATTTTCTTAATGAAGCGAGATTTCATCTCGACAATTAGTTTTTCCCCAAATGTTGAGTAATGATGACTTAAGTAGTAGTGTGGAAATTGAAATCTTCAATATTTAAATTAAAAATACTTTAAAGTTATTTATACAAATCTTACATTTTTAATTTATTACAAACATATATAAGAAAGTTAAATTTTACCAAAGCAAATCTGTTTCCACAACCACACAGATGAACGTATGTACACACATTTATAATACATGGAATTTTTATGCTTCTTCATTCGTTATACCTACTATACTTTTAAAAAATCTAATTGAAAAGGACTACTTGAAGCTAATCAGTGGGTAAACCAATCAATCAATGAATGAAATTATGATTTTTTTTTTTATATATGAGTATAGTCTAACCTGCCAGATTGGAATCGTGGCCCATAGTGGGGCAATTGTGGCTCCTGACCAAGTTCCCTGCCGGGGCTGGTTCGGCTGTAGAAAATAGCAAACATGCAGCACACAAAATAATAGTAATACTAAACGTATTATAAATTCCAAATTTGCTAAAAACTCTCCAAAACTAAATTAATCACATTTTGGAAAATTTATTTACACCCTCAACATATTATTGAAGTAAATTATGTTGTTTTATTATTGCATTGTAACGAGATAATTTATATTTATACAAGCGAAAAAAAAAGACATCATTGGGAGGATTTCAACTATTTAGAAAGGTTTAACAGTGTCATTTGTTCAATCATTCCACTATTAACAAAAAGGAATTGTCTTAAGTCTACTATGGATTTGGGTTAATGAAATACGGAGACGTCGATATTGCGACTCAACAAAATTAAATCGTTACAATACTTTCAAGCTACCACCAATCCTGATATCGATGTTTAGAATTATTTCATTTTTAACCTATGCAAATATATGAATTAATAACGTTTAACCAACAAAAAAATGTGTTATGTATGGTATTAGTGTATGAAAAAGTAGAATTAAATCATTGTATTAAATGTATGGCGGATTGATGTTTTTTGTAAAGCTATGTTTAAAATAACAAGCATTTATACTAGTCTAACATGCTAACCTTCGTTGTCCTGGATGCAAATTCTGGGAGCCTTTGAAGCTGGAATTGCAAAACAAACAAAAAAAAACATAAACAAGCGAACAACAAACAAAAAGAGCAAACAATTTAATTGACAAAGTGCAAAATACGTGCAACACAAACAACAAAACGATAGAAACAGCAGAAGGGAAAAAGAGGACGTACCTTTGTTTACGACCAAGAGTGCCATAATCTGGTGAAGATTCACGAATATCGTGCTGAGATCCGCGACTAGAAATTGAGATGGCAAGCACAAAAAATAAATTAAGACATGCAGACAATGAATTTAAAGACACTAATGAAGACAAAAATATAAGTAAAACAAATGGTGTTTTGTATGCTGTGATTGGTCGAGTGTAATGAAATCATAAGAATAAATAGTGTGTGTGTGTATAGTGAATATTCATCATAAGATCAATTATACATTTATAGCTATGATGTGCCTATACTTACATTGGTGTTTTGCCCTTAACAAACTTCTTAGAGTCCTTAGTGCTCTGTGCCTGTTTAACAGTCCTCGCCTTGCAGACCCTGTTGACTTCGACGCTCCTCATATCAGTGTTCTCCATAAATTCTTTATGATCGGCAATCAAACTTTCCGTAGCTGGAATGTCCATCGGTAACTCTTCTTGTTTCAGAGCTACCAAAGTACTCTCCAATCCCAGAAGCCAACTGATCAATTCCTCCAAGCATTCATCCAGATCTTTAAGGGACTGCATGTGCGAAGATAACTTGTCGTAACGCTGTTTAGCCCATTGAGAAACTTCTTCCCAACGGGATTGGATGATTGTAATCCATTGCTTGATAACATTGACAGCGTCTGGATGAGCTCTGGTCAGAACGGAATGGGCAAGATCTATGGTGGAATCCTTTTCAACTTCCTTTTCGCGTAACTCGTGTCGGAATTTCTCCAAAATTTGGAGTTGTTCGTAAGCCGCAGCTTCGTCTTCTGGCGTGTTACCTATACAAACAATTTGTATTAAAATTATCTGTTTTCGTAAACTTGTATATTATTTATAAATAGTTCATTCCAATACAGTAACAATACGACATGCTTCAACTTTAAAACATTCCCATCATACCTTTGGGTATTATCACTATATTAAGGAAGTCATGGAAAAAAGTCATACATTTTAAATATAAATATAGAAATAACAAATGTGTAATGTTTCTCTCACCTGCAAATCTTAGCTTCATTTCGGCATTGGACAACCAATCCAGCAGCATGTGTACAGACTTGTGCAGTTTTTCAGCTTCCCTAAGAGCATCTTCTAATCTAGTTGATTTTCTGTTGGTTAGATGGGAAACGCTCTCCCACAATTCATTAAGTTCAACAAGTTGGCTCCTAATTGCTGCAGAGTCGCTGGTATTTGCTTTAATTTCTAACTCATGTCCTGTTTTCATGACGGAACTCATCTGAATATTGCGCGCCTCAAGATCTTGTTCGAAACGAGTATGTTCATCTACCAAATGCGTTACAGTGTCCAAATCTCCATGAACGGGCTTATCCTGAGATAAATCTTTTTCCACCATTTGGAGCCATTGAAGCAATGCAGCGATAGCTTCCTTGAATTGTCCAGAATAGAGTAAAGCTTCCTCGAGTTTCCTCTGGCGATCAACGCTCTTATTACAAACAGCAGTCCACTTGTTCTTCAAGTCATTTAACATCTGTTTCAAAGTTGGCTCATCATTTTTAGGAGCTTTCTCCTTTAATGTTTTACCAATCTTCATAGTATTGTCGTAGGTACTTTGTTTTGCAGATAGAGCGCGTTGGAATTCTTGATGTTTGGATAAGCGTGATTTGATAATTTCTGGGTTGTTACCAACGGAATCATCCAATTCATCCAAATTCGCTTCGGTTTCATCTAACCAGTTCATCAATCCCGACCAAGAATCGTGGAATTCTTTAGCTTCTTTGTATCCTAAATCTAATGCACGAGTGCGTTCGGCAGATTTCGAGGCCACTCTTTCCCATCTATGCTGTACACTAATTAAGAGATTCTTGATTAAGATCACATCTTGCTTTTGACTGAAGTACTTCAAATGAGTACCCTTCTTATCCAAATTAAGCATAATTTCGCGATGGGCGTTAACATCCTTTTGGAAGAGTTTATGTTCTTCGATTTGATTTTGGATTGTCTCCAATACGCGCGATACTGACTTCAGGTTGTTCAAATGTTTTTCAGCATTGGTGAGCCAATCAACAAACGCTTGCAGAGCATCATGGAATTCAGTTGCTTCCTTCAGAGCAATTTCCAGCTTGATTTTCTTGTCGTTTGCTCTAGATGTTACTGAATCCCATCGTTGCTTCAAGGTGCGTAAATTGCTTTGCAGATTAGAAGCAGTATTCGATCCGCGTTTAAGATATTCCTGACCTTGAGCTAAAACTGTCTCCACCTTTGGTCTGTTCTCTTCCAATTCATTGTAAACTTCCATGAACCTTTCCAACTGTTCAGATGCAGTCTCTGGTAATCCACCTACTGGTTTGCTGGCAGCAATTACTCCATCAACATCACCCAACCAACTGATAAGATCTTGGATTTCAGCATTGAATCTCTGCGCATCGGTTAATGCATCCTCAAGTTCCCTTTGCCTATCTGCTGCCTTTTGTATCAGAGAACGCCACTGCGTATTTAAGGTGTTTAGCTTATCTTGCGTTACGGATGCTTCATCATCTCCACTTTCTATGATTTGCCTTCCAGCATCGTTTAAGGTATCAACACTTGTTTGATGAGCTTGGATATCATTAATCAGCACTTTGAGTTTAGCCAGTTCCACTTCGAGAATTTGTGGGTCTCCAGCAACTGGTTTAAGTTCATCAAGTGTTCTGTCTGTTTTGCTGATCCATACTAGAAGTTCGTTGAGGGCGTGTTGGAATTGACCCAATCTCAATAGAGCATTTTCCAATTGCCTTTGACGTTCCACAATGCCTCGCAATAAATCGTCCCATCTTCTGTTAACAGCTAATAAAGGTTCTTTAATTGCTGCAGCTTGATCAGCAGAAGTTCTTTCAGTCAGCTCTTGGGCTTGCCTAAGGAAAATAATAATTTCAATTAGTTTTATACTAATATAAAGTTACAAATCAACAGCGATATGTATTCCAATAATAGAAAAGAAACTAAATAAAATGTAGATAATATTGATTTGTAACTTGAAATCCATTCTGTTACAGCATGAAGCAATGCCAGAAGCAAAAAAAAATAGCCTTTCTTTTCTCATTGAAGAAATAATATAATTAAATTACCCAAATAACAATAAAGGAAATTATAAATAAATATTGCTATAGGTACATGCGATACTGCAATGTTCTAGTTTGGCAGTATTCAAGAATATACTTCTTAATTTACATATAAAATAAACAATAAAAGCTAGCATACAAATACACAACAGACAAAATACAATTTCGTTCTCTCGTAAAAAACTAATGCAAAAATAAGTTTAAACAAATAGTCTGAGAGAACAAAAATTGTTTAAATAATGCATTAACACAAAAGGCTGTTGCAAATAACACTTATTGTAAGTATTCTTGCCTTATGAGACTCCTGATCCAATGGCATAGACAAAAGATAGAAAAAAACATAAGGTTAGTTAGAACAAAGATAACAAGAAACATAGGACATAGTAAAAGAGTAACGTATTAAAAAATAAAAACTGACCTGTTGAGAGCTTCAACTTTAACCATGTGTGGATCGACTTCGGATTTAAATCTCTTCAATTGCTCAATTTGCTTTTTAACTGCATCGATGTCTGTTCCCAATGGTCCCATCTTACCGAATTTATCCTCGGCCCTTTCCAAGAACTCCAAAAGATTCTGAAAATAATACAAAGCATTTACTACCGATGTATACCGATTGTTATGATTAAAAACATACGTGAAGTGTTTCATGGAATTCCATTGCTTTCTCCATTGCATCAATCAAATTTTCTTCTCGTTTGGCATACAAAGCTGTTATATTGTCCCATGCATTATCCAAATCTTCAATGTGTTTCTTGACTTCAGGTTTGTCCGGTTCTCCGCAAAGTTGCATCAATTTTTGACCAGAATTTCTAACTTGATCCACGTGCGGTTTAGTGTGATCAATTTCATGGCGAATTTCTTGTAATGCAACTTGTTGTTTTTGAATCGCTTTTGGTTCAACAGCTGGCGGTTCTTGAGATGCTAACGAATCTTCCAAATCCTTTAGTTGTTCCATAATAACATTCAACTCCTTCCAGAATTTCTCGGCTGCTGTTAAGGTATCATCCAGATTCTTTCCACGTGTGTTCGTCGCCTTTTGCACATCGTCCCACAGATTTTTAAGTTTATCCAGCTTACGTTTAATATCCTTGATGGCTGGATCTGATCTGTTTGCTGCTTTGTTAATAACATCATCGGCTGCGCGCTTAACTGCTGCGTAAGCTTCCTTGCGTTTATCCAAATCGCTTACGAGAACATCGTTATCTTCAATTTGATCGTTTATCTTAGTCGGATGCGCAGAAATTGGTTCCAAATTATTAACTTGATCAGCAGTATTTGATAGGGCTCGCAACATGCCCTCCAGTTTGTCACTGAACTGGGAACTTTCTTGCAAAGCTTCTTCTAATGCTTGCTGCCTTTCACGCAGTTCTAGTTTCAATGCTGCGTAACGGTCGTTATCGCTATCAATTAGTTCTTGCACCTTAGTTCCATCATCATCATTGCATAAGCGAATTAAAGCTTCTCCGGTTTTGTTGAGTTTGTCGACGAGTGGTTTATGCTCGTTAATTGATTGCAAGAACATTTCGTTGCGGTCCTGTTGTTGTGCAATCAAGTCTGGCCTGAGAGCAGGCATTGAAAGCATCGATACTTGTTCTTCCATATCTCCCAACCAGTTGGATAAAACTCCATGCGTATCATGGAAATGTTCTGCTAATGGGAATGCTTGTTCTAAAATACCCAATCTATCACTGCTAAGAGCGGATACGGTATCCATGGTTTCCCTAAGATCTTCCATTTTTTCTCTTATTATGCTCATATCTTCGCTTGGTGGAGATTCGCGAAGTACTTTCTTAGCAGTCGACAAAACATCCCGTACTCGTCCCTTCTGACTGGAAATATCATCATTGAGCGCTTTGTGTTCTTTAAGTTGCACTCTTATCATATCTGGATCAGCAGATGGTTTCTCAGCGTCGCGAATTTGGTTTTCTACCTCTCTGAACCATTCCAATAGCTCATCGATATCAGATGTTACTTCCAAAGCTCTTTGTTTGCCAAGATGAATTCTTTCGGCGCGACGTTGAATCTGTTCAGCGATGGCATCGAACCGTCTGTTGTCTCTTGTTACTAAACCTTCTATGGTCGCAGCACCTTCACCTGGACTAGCTTGACACAACTGTGGTCCAACCAGATTTATTGTTTCAAGGACTGGTCTTAATTCTTGCAAATCTACTTCCAGTCTTGCAATGTCTCCCTCGTGTGGATCGCCGGACTGTAGGATTGTTTCAGCACCTTGCATCCAAGTTACTAACCTGCTGTGATTATTGTGGAATTGTTCAACTAATGGTAGCATATCTTGAGCATGTTTAAGTAAATCGGCGCCACGAGATGTAAGTTCGTTGTATCTTCTCTGTAAAGAGTCCAATTTATCTTTAAGTTGGAGAGCTTCATCAGAAGAAATATGCTTCATTAGTTCAACACCTGCATCAACAGTTCCATCAACATCGCCCTGTCGGCTAGCAATATCTTCAGTGACGTTAGCTAGTTCGTCCATTTGCTCCAACAGTTTGTCGGTGTGCACGGCTAACACTTTGTACCTTCCCAATCTCGTTTCCATTGTATCCATCCACGCGACCAAATCTTGGTAAGTAATAACCAAGTGTCTCAATTCTTGGCGAGAATCGTTTAACAATCTGCCAACTTCTTCACTTGCTTCGACCAAATTACCATATCTATCAGTAACATCAGTTAGTTTATCAGCTAAAGTTGAGGCTTCATCCTCACCGACTAATGACATTAAGTTAGAAGCAACATCAGCCAACTCGTTGAAATCTGGTTTCTTGCTCAAGATATCATTATGTAGGACATCGTGTTCTTGAATTCGTTTCCGAATCTTTTCTTCGTCAGTTGGAATAAGCTCCAAATCTTTAACTTTCTTTTCGCTGCGATCTAACCATTCTTGCAGTGGAACGAGTTTATCTAAAAATTCTTTAGCTACTTTCATGGCTTGTTCCAAGTCCAAAGTGCGTTGTTGGGCACCTTCTCTCAATGCTTCAAATCTACCGATCAAATCTTTGAGTTGTTTTTCAATTGCTCTACGTTCTGATGGATCGGCTTCTTTGGCAATTTCGTTGCCCATGCTGTATAAGGATGACATGGAATTTTGTCTGTCCAGTAGCATTTTCTTTAAGAATTTTTGTTCTTGCAATTGTGCTTTTACAACCTTGTAATCAGCAGATGGTGGTTTCTGATTTTCTACCAGTTCTTCAGTGTCAGTTAACCATTTATCGAGACCATCCAAGGCTTCTTGGAATTTGCCTGACTGCAACAAAGCAACATCCAATCGACGTTCGCGATCGTTCATACGTTCCTTGAGATTGTTCCAACGATCATTCATCCTTTCCAGTTCTTTTTCGAGATTATTCGTGTTAACCTCAGGAGCCGCAGATTGGATTAAACCTTGACCAAGACGGTTGCATTCGTCTACATTTTTACCAAGCGGATCCACAGTTTTTGCGCGGAAACGTTTGATGTCTTGTTGCTGAGCACGAATAGCTTCAACATCGGTTCCAACTGGTTTCAACTTCCTCACTTCCTCTGAAGCATCTTGAATATCATCGATTACTGCTGAATGGATCATGTAGAAGTTATCCAACTTTTTCAGCATGTTATCCAACTCTAGTTCCCTACCGCGGGCACGGTCATCCAGTTTGGAAAGTTGTTTCTTAAGAGTGTCAACCTGTTGTCTTGTTTGAGCAGTATCTGGTGCAAAACCACTATCAACTAACCGCTCACCGGCAGAGATAGCGAAGTTAACATCATCAGCTGCTTTGTTTAATTTATTGACTAATTTAGATACGTCATCGATTTGATCTCGAACTGTTTTAACATCTCTTCCTGGAGGCTTCATGGAATCTAATTCTGCCTCTAATCCTGACAAATCGTGAGTTAATTCCTTGACTTGATCATTAAATTGAGTTACAGCAGTTGCAGCAGATTGTAAATCAGCACAACGATCATCTAATTTACATTGCAACTCGTTGATGCGATCGCCTACATTATCAACTTCGTCTAATAAATGGTTACCGTCAATGCCATGTTCTTGGGCTTCTTGACTTAAATCATTGGCCTGTTGTTTGCACGCTTGGAAGGGTTTGCTCAGATTTCCAACTTCATCGCGTAAAGTCTTAATTCTATCTAATAACTTAGGATCTTTAGCAGCGCCACCCAGCGAATCGTGCGATGCCAATTTGTCTTCGCATCTTTCGAGGCCGTGCTGTAAATCTCTCAAATTTTCATTGAAATCCATCAGTTTTCTTGCCTGATCTTCCAAAGATTGGGTACGATCCAATAAGTCGTTGTTCAATTTATCCCAACGTTCCTTAAGATCCACCAATTCGTTATTTACCACATCTTTGTCAATATCGCAAGCAGATATAAAGGACTCGCCCAACGACCTAGTGTTTTCATATTCCCCAGATTTCTTCCATACATCATTTCTGAAAGCTTGCAATTCTTTAAGTTGTTTTTCAATGTGTTTCCTCTTGAACGATGATGGCTTCAAACTATCCAATTTATCTTCAGCTTGACGAAGCCACGGCATAAAGATATCCAACGTTCGGTAATACTTTTTGCAGTGTTCCAAACACGTTTGTAGTCTGGTGTGCCTATCCACAGTTTCCTTGCGCAGTTTGTCCCAATTTTGTTGAATTTTATCGAGATCCCTTTGAAGATTTCTAGTATCTGATTTGTTATTACGTGCAAGCAAATCTCTGCCTTTGTTCAAGAGCATTATGACCTCATGCTCCCTCGACAATACCTCTCTGTACACGGGTTCGTGGTGTGACAATTGTTGTTCGAGAATTACACGATCGGCGGAAACGAGTAAACGTTCAGAGATTGAACCCAACTCATCCGATAACCAGCCGAGTGTTTTAGCACAAGATGCCTCAAACTGTCTTCCATCCCGTAAAGTATTTTCAATCTCTGCTTTACGATGATCCAATTTCTTTTGAAGAGCATTGTATTGCCTACCAATTGCAGCCAATTTAGCTTGGATATCTGCTCTGGATGCTGGATCGCTGAGTACATTACATAATTGAGCTCCGGCAGCTTCTAAATCAGCCAAAAGTGGTCGTTGACCCTCCAATTGCCTATCCAAATTTTCAATTTTCCTGAGTTGTTCTTCCGGATCTTTATCCATTGGAAGTTCGTCAAGGGCTTCTGAAATTCCTTGGAGAGCATCGCGAAGTCGCGTTAATTGTGCATCGAATTCGCGGCTGGTATCTGCAGCAGCTCCCAAGGAATCTGCCCGTTCGTCCAATTTGCCAAGAAGATCCGACCATCTATTCTGTATGTTATTCAACTTATCTTCGATTTTCTGTCCATCTTGCGAATTTCTATCAACGAAAGTTAATACAGAGTTGCCGACGTCTCTCAAATGGTGTAGTTGCGGTTGTTGCGTACGGAATTCTTCTCTGAGTACTTGAACTTGTTGAACTTGTGATTGAACCATGCGAGGATCACTTGAGATCGGTCCTAATACGGTGAACATTTTGTCTTTGGAATTCAACCAAGCAGCTAGTGAATCATGAGTGTCGTGGAATTCTTTCATGTTCTCCATGAATTCCATTTGGTCTTTACATACATCATTCAACCGTTTCCATCTGGAAAGGACGTCCTCCAATTCGTCGTTCAAATTATCAACACCAATTGAGCTCGGTTTTCGTCTTACGATTTCTTTCACTTGGCTACGAGTTGAATCAAGGAGAGACTGCTTCTCGTACATTTCTTCGATGACCTGTTTCAGTTGCTTATTGATCTTATCGGACTCTTCTTTTGTTGATGGAATAATGTCCTTTATTAATTGTCTTTGAATCTTGTCGAGGAAGTTGTCCAACGATTTTAGATTATCCAACTGCTTTCTAACTTCGTCTCTCGTGGAATCTATTTCATTTTGGCGATCGTTTATTTTAACTCCTAATAAGGAATAACGATTGTTGATTTCGGATAGTTGTTGCTGCACTGGAGAAAGTTCTTCCAAGTGGAATCCATCTTGACTAGACCGGCGAGATGAGAATCCGCTAGAGCCTGCAGGTGATAATGGGCTCAGACCTTTAGTTGGTGAAGGTGATCTACCATCTTGAGAAGGACGTCTCACTGATATTGGACAAATAAAACACAATATTATAATTATATGATACAAACATTTTATACTTGTACTTACATGAACTAGTTCGTTTGGTTGGACTGTAATTGCTAGCCCGTTTGCGGCTAGGTGATTCTGGGCGATCACGTAACAAACTATCGTACAAATTACCGACGTCATTGACTCTGTCAATTGTTGGTGCATAGTCCCTGTAGTCTTTAGCGATTGGCTTAAGATCATCGCTTTGCTTCTGCAATATTTGCATATCGACAGCCACGACATCCAGTCTCGAAACTTTGGTCTCCATTCGGCTCAACCACTCATTGACTTGTTCGCGGAGTGTTTCATACGCGTTGAGTTGTTCTGATCGCTGCTTGGACAACTTTTGCTTCTCATCCAATAGATTATTCAAATCCCTCCAGCGATTCTCCATAGACTTAATTGCATCTCTAACTGGAGCCGTATCAGTGACATCACGCTTATTAACCAATTCTTTGCCACCGTGTATTGCTTCTTCAAACAATGGCTGTTTGTTATCACGGTTATCTCCGATCTCCTGCATTCTACTGGCATAATCTTCAATAGACAGCTTCGAGAAATCTCTAGACTCAATAATTTCAACAATACCATTGAACCATTTATCAAATTGATCCGATTGAGAATTAAAGGTGATAAGATTTCCGTAAACTTCTTGAAGAAACTCTCCGCGTCTTTGCGTGCGATCCAACAATTTCTCAAAACGGTGTTTCACATCGTTCAATTTATCCTCAATTTTCTTAGCTACTCTGGTATTGCTAGAAGAGGAGATCAGATCACTCGCTGATAAATAAATTGAATCAATAGACGAAATGTGAGTATCGACATCGGATTGGTATACTTGATGTTCACGGATTTGTTCCTCGAGGCGTTCTTTAATCAAAGACGCGGGACGTTGAATATTCTTGAATTCTGTTTCAGCTGAAGTCAACCAAGATACGATGTTGTCTAGGGCATCCTGCACTCCTTGTGATTGGACTAGAGCAGTGTCGAGTTCTTGACAACGGTCACCAAGAGCATTCTTCAGTTGATTGTATTTTTGTTCCAATACAATAACAGGCTCTTCTATGGAAGTAATTTCCAATGGTGATATTTGTCCTTCTAAAGATCGCAGTAACGAAACGGAAGCTTGTTTCACGTTATCAATTAGACGTCCGCTGGCTACAAATTCATTATTCAAAGCCTTGGCTTTGTACAGTTGATCTTCTACCGTTCTTGGATCTCCACCAATTGGATCACTGAGGACTTTGGCGGCTCTTGGCTCAGCGTCGCGTAACCATGATCTTGCTTTATCCATTGCATCGTTGTATTCACGTTGCTTGCCTCCGACTCCCGATAAACGATCTGATAACATGTTTGCTCGGTGCAAAAGATCTCTGTATTGTTGCGTAACATAAGAAACTTCGCTACGGACAGGAGAATCTTGTGCCGAAAGTGGTTCAATGTGCGGCATGCGAGATGGTAAAGTTGTGCGGAACTCGTTGAGAACTGTCAAATAGTCTTTAGATTCGTCCACGAATTTCTGGGCAGACATGGTGATGAATCGAAGATCAGCTTGATGGGAAATTACGTCAGAGACAAACTCCCTGGTGCTATCTGCACTGGAATCCAAACGCTGCAAATCGCTCAATGCACGTTCTTTGTCTTCCAATATTCTTCTGGCTTTATCTAACCAACTCGAGAAACCAGAAAGTTCACCCTTCAGTTTGTGCAACTCATCTCTGGCAGTTAACATACGTCTTATTAATTTATCTGTACGATCGCTGGTCTTGTCGTAACGTGTCTTCAAGTTTCTTCCGTTCTTTTCCAATGTGGAGACTTCGCTCTTCGATAAAATGTCACCAGCTGTTAGAACCAATTGCCTAATTTGATCCAAGCAATGGGAAACCGGTCCGGAATGCTGATTCAGGTCTTCCTTGATCTGCTTCATCACGTTAATCTGGTTCCTAAGGTCTTCCTCGACTTCACGCAACACATCCTGGGTGGCAATCTTCTCTTCGACTTCGGAAATCCATTGAAGCAATTTTGTAAGACTCTCGTCGCACAATTTATATTTTTCTTCAACGGCTTGCTAAAATTGCATAACATAAATATTAAAATATCATGTGGACAGAACAATAAAAAAAAACTTAGATTTGCTTCATACTATTGGTCACAGCATGCATTTTACCTACACTCTGAAGCGCCTTGATGAATTTGCGTTTTATTTTACCAGCCAGTAGCACTTACCTTCCCCTTAAAACTATCTTAAAAGCTAGACTTAAACTAAACATCTAAACAATTCATTTATGCTTATCCATTCTACGGATTGCACATTACAAATTGTATCATTTATTTTTTGCATCCCTAAACCTAAACTTTCTCATGCACACAAGCACACACAAACTTTGTTTCTCATTTGTTAGTTATAAAAAAACATAATTTTTCAAAATAAAATCAAATTAAATAAAATCAAACAAAACCTGCAAACAAATGGAACAAAAAAATTAATTGTAAAAAAAAACAACAAAAAAAAACATAAAATAACAGAAATATTTAAAGCATTCTTTGCACCAAAACCTACGTCATGAAATGTAATCAATACGATATGCTGCACATTGATGACTCAAATTTTGAAATTCATAGTTGTAGTGCAGATAATTAGTGATTGTTACATACAGTTATTATTCTCATTATAATAATTAATAATAAAAAAAACACAACAATGGTAAATTCGATTTGTAATTAAAGTTGATTATCATTTAATTACTGAATTTGTTAAAGCGAAATTAAAGCTATTTCCTAAATGTTTTATAGCAGTTATTTGTGCAAACGGCAAGTCGTATGGCCTTTTTTCTGCACCGATAATGTGTGAATTGTGGAACCACCACACAAAAATGTAAAGCTCCCATGGGGATGTAACACAGCTGCAAAAAATTATATGTTGTCAGTCGATTGTTTTAGCTTGATTAAGAACATTAGAAATGTAGATTCAATTAATAAATTAAATAATTAAAAAAAATATTAATTTAAATCAAAAAGTTTAATCTTGCGTTTTTATGTGGTGTGAGTGAGCGAATGTTTGTTGTACAGATATTTTTCAATTGAATAAATATTCTCGAACTGCATTTATATGCGTTCGTTCTAAATATTCGTGTATTGAAAAATATCCCTTCGGTGCGTATGTGTATAGCGTAGCATTCTAAAGTGTGAAAATGTAAATAGGATATTTCAGCATGCTATTAAGCATTTAAAATTTTCGTTCTCCAGTTTCAAACACATTAAGCTCAACAACCAAAGCGCCATATTTGCTCAGCGCACTTAAACACAAGTAGCAATAAACATAGAAAGCATAAATTTGACTTACCCTTTCTTCGGCTGGTTTGATTAATCCCCTCTCCAAGGCCTTTCCAAAATCTATGAGTTTATCCTCGTTTTTATCGTAAATTCGTCCACCTATTCCATCAACTACACCATTGTCAATAGCTCCCAATAATTGAAGCATTGTACCTGTTTCTGGATCTCTGATCACAGTACTACTTGGATCAACCAATAGATCATCGATTGCTTCAATTAATGTTAAACGTTTTCTATCGATAATTGATGTATTTACGAATGGATCTACGAAGGCACCGGTTGTCGGATTGTAAACTCCGTACTGAATGGCTTCGATTAACGTGAAACTTCTTTTCGGCGTTATCAACAAACCATTATCGATAGCCACAGGTAAGACGTGCAATTTCGAAGTAGCACTATCGAGAATGCTACCTTTTTCAGCATCAACTAAACCTTTACGGAAACCTTCCGGAAGCTTGACGAGCTTCTTTTTATTTGTGTCTTTCACCAACGCTGTGTCCGGATCAATGAATCCGTAAGCAAAGGATTCTTTTAAAGTTAATATTTCATTGGTTTGTGGATCGGTGAATTTACCGGTGTTTATATCTAGATAATCCTTTTCTAAAGCAGCTTCAAAACTCATAGGTTTTTTCACATAAATTACAATCACTTGATCGTAAACAGCGATCAAAGATTTTACTTTACCTTTAGGTTCAAAAACAATAGTTTTATCGGCGTTAAGGGTGTTGTCATCAATACTAGCACCCAACGATTTGAAATCTCCTGTCTGTGGATCTTTTATTACAGCGATTTTAGGATCAAGTAATTCAAATTTAATCGCTTCTTCCAATGTGCATTGACGAATGGTCGGTTTTGATTGAATTGCAGCGTAATTAGTTTGAAGAAGTAATGGTTTATCTAAAGTTACAATAACACCCTTGTCTAAAGCTTTGTCAAAGTTGTAAACGTTCTTTGATTTTGCATCGTACACACGACCTTTTTCCACGTCAATATTACCATCAGTGATCGCGTCTGGTAATGATTTTACGAAACCATTTACATCTTTAAAACCTGTTGTGCTAGGATCAATTAAACCATTAGCGAGTGCTTCAGAAATATCGAAAAATTCGTTGCAAGATGGATCTGCAAATTTACCGGAATCTGGTCGATATAAACCGTTCTCGACTGCGTCTTTCAACGTTAAGCGTTTGTTAGGTGTAACAATTAAACCGCGTCTTTTAGCTTCGGCAAAGGATATTGTGCCAGTTGGCAAGTTGAATTCATTTGATACACCATTAATTATATTCTCTTCTAAAGCTTCTGGAAGAAGGATGTATTTATGAGATTTGATATTTTTGATTATCGTGATATTCGGATTAATTAGCTCGTGACTTACTGCATCGTTCAAATTGAATTTTGCGTTAGTCGCTGGATGAATAAGCTTATTATTTTCATATAATCCCATATCCAAGACTTCGTACAGACTGAAATTGGCCGTCTCGATATCTACAATTAAACCTTTTTCCATAGCTTTATTCAATGGCATGCTGTTGGAAGTAGCTGGATCTTTAAATGTTCCATTGCATTTGTCAATTATGCCCAATATGCAAGAATCTTTGAGGTGATGCAATTTTTTATTCTTCTTATCAAAGTAGCATGGAAGCAGAGGATTAATAAAGAATTTGCGTATTGATTCATGAATAGTGATTTTTCGCGCTGTACTTGGATCCAACATTTTTCCACTGGTTTCATCGTATAACCCTTGATGTATCGCTCTCTGTAATGATATAGCTGCATTTTCATCGATTAACAAACCTAAACTGAATGCTTCTTTCAATGGAACAACGGTCAGTTCGCCCTTATTATAAACGTTAACATTACCGGTATTTCCGTCAATCAAGCCATTGTGAATTGCATCGAGTAATGGGATTTTTCTGGGGATACCTGATTTCGTATCTTTAACGGAAACAGATTTTGGATCGATCAAACTGACTTCAATAGCCTCACCTAGGCTTAAATGATTACCGCTTCTTGGATCTAAGAATGTCAGTGTTTCGGGATTAAATATATTGACTAAAGCTTCAGCCAAGCACATTGGCGATATGACTTCAACCATTAAACCTTTCTCAAAGGCCTCCTTAAAGTCAATAACATTGTCACCTTCAAGTATTAGGACACCCTCGGTTGTATTTATAATACCTTCAACTACAGCTTGATCAAATGTAACGACTTCTTCGTTAATTGTCACTAACGTCGAGGATGTGTCAATGTATCCGCGGCTTATAGCAGATTGTGTTTTCAGTTCTTCTTTGTTCTCGGGATCAACAAAATTTCCGCTCTCTGGATCGTAATATCCCCTATACACTGCTTCTGGTAAAGTAATTTTAGATTTATTCGCATCGGTGGTTTCTTTATCAGACGATTTCTTGGGATCCACACTATCTTTAGAAATCGTACTGTCATTATCACTTGATTTAACTTTGTTTCCTAATTTATCAATTTGTGGAGATGATTCAGTAAATGAAATTTCTGCTTTTTCCATAGTAATAAAACTATCAATTTTTTGTTTCATATCGGTTCCGCCTGATGGCTTCGTTTTGTCAAGTTTATTTCTAACTGCATCGACCACGGCCGCTCCCGCAACTATAGGTGCTACAATAGGAGCTGCAATTCCTCCGATTACAGCAATCAATCCCATTTTTGCGGCCTTCTTAAAATCGACGCTCTTGCCTGTTCCTTGCTCTTTGATTTTACCTGTTTTTGGGTCAATTAATCCTTGACTGACAGCCTGTTCAATTGTAATAGGTTTCTGCGATTTAACATCATATATCATGGAATTTGGATCAATAATATCTTTCTCTAATGCTTCACTAAATGTTAACAATTTATTTGAATCAGTGGGGTCATGGAATTTGTCTGTCTCTTTATCGTAAATCTTATCAAACGCTTCAGCAATGTTTAATTCTACAGTCTTGTCTCCATCAGTATCTACATCGTTGGTGGGTGCAGCTTCTAATATTCCATCTTTGATAGCATTGCTGATTGACATCTTTTCTCCTGATTTTGGATCGGTGTAAGTCCCTGCACTCATATCTATTAAACCTCTATTTAGGGCATCAGAGAAAGTTATTTGATTTGTTGGGTAAGAGCCTTCTGCTCCAATTGACTTACATTTCAATTTAATGTCGCCTTCTTTTACATCAATAATCACATTCTTTATTCCCTGTGGGCTTTTCTGAGTATTTTCAATAAAAAGAAGACCGCATTCTACTGCTTGCGCTATAGGTATAATCTCTCCTGTAAATGGATTTGTAAACGTTCCGCTGTCTGTATCTATCAGATTCATATCTATGGCATTTTCTAAATTCACGGCATCTGCACTGCGCTCAAATGGCAAAACCATGATATAATTTTCCTTGAATGCTTCACTTAAACTTACCTTTTCTTGAGTAATTGGATGAATAAACGTCTTACTCTGTAGATCAATGTGTCCTCGACTTAAAGCAACTGGGAATGTCATAGCTGCTGGTGGAATATCCTTGTTATTTTCAACTTTATCAAATATCTCTCTTTCTACGGCGGTTTGCAGATCTAAGTTACCACCTTTTGTTGTAACAACGGCTTTGGTATTATCAACTTTTCCAGTATCCAATGCTTCAGATAATGTTACTTTTCCATCACTAACATTTACTTTACTAAGTGGATCAACAATATCGCACTGAATGGCTTGCTTCAAAGTCAAATATGCACCAGTTTCCGGATGCACAACTTTCGAAGTATCCGGATCTATTAATCCTTGATCGAAAAGCTCTGGCACAGATAAGCTTTTGTTCAGTGGTATTAACACTTCATTACCGCCATCTGGATCTAAAACTCCACGAGATATTGCTTCATTTATTGTCAATATATCACCACGTTGAGGATCGACGATCTTTCCTTTATCACCATCTATCTTCTTATTATCTACAGCTTCTTGTAGACTTAAAACTTCTCCCTCGGCAGAAATAAATGTGTCCTTTTTATCTAGTATATCGGCTGTCTGTGAATCGATTAAACCTTTTTGTAGAGCATCTTTAGGTTTGATGGTTTTCTTTCTCAACTTTTGTAAAACTGCCTTTTTAGCATCCCTCTCGGGGCTTAAAGATGTGGCTCGTCCTATTGCCACCTCGTATTTCGGTTCGGTAGTAATACGCGCACGAGTTTTGTCCGCCAAAGAAATTTCAGGCTGACGATCAAATGAAATAGTTTGAGAGAGAGGAGTATTTTTCAATTTATGTTCATTTTCGTTTAATTTCTGTCTAGTTGAAACTTCAGATGATAATTCTTTTTCTGTATCGCGACCCTCCTTATTAGCAATGTTATCCTTGTTTATAATATGATCAGTATGCTGATCTCTAACCATTTTTTCGTACATTTCTGGTGTAATTAAACCTTGTTTTAATGCATCTGCAATTGGGATGTTCTCACCGGTTTTAGGAACAGTCACTGTAACAGTTGATTTAATATATTCTGGAGATTTGTCTAATTTTGCTTTAAGTTCATCAACTTCAGCTTGAGTAATCAATCCAAGGGCAAGACCTTCTTCTACAGAAACTGATTTATTAGTTTTAGGGTCTGTGATCATAATTTGTGTATTATAAATGACTTTAGTTTCGTTAGGTGTTTTCTTTTTTATGCTTTCATATTCTGATAGTGAAATAAGCCCCATTTCTAAAGCAGCTTCTGGAGTGTAGTGTTTGCCTGTTTTTGGATCAACATAGGATTCTGACTGCAATTCTAATGAGGTTGAGTCTATTTTTTCTAAATCGGTCTTTGGATCTATAGATTGAGTATTAATAAATGCATTGGTATCTGGTTGATGCTTTAATTTAAGGTTTTCTAATTCGCTGGCCGAAATAAGTCCAAGTCTAACAGCTTCTTCGGCCGAAATATTTTGACCGGTTTTAGAGTTTTTAATATATATATTTGTGTTCGTGGCATTCTCTGGCCGCATATTTTGAAATTGTTCCGGTGTGATTAATCCTAACCTGAGAGCATCCTGGGCTGGTATTTTTTGACCCGTCTTTGGATTTACTACCATAAACTTGGTTTCAATTATTGTCGGTTTTAATTTATGTGGACCATCATCTGCAGTCTTTGTAACAGTCACTGGTTTCAGTAAATTCTTTGCAGTTTCTAATTCTTCTTTAGAAACGAGGGGATGCCTCAAAGTGTCAGTTTCCATTTTTGAATCTACAATAGGTGAAACATCCATTTTCTCCACTGTCTTAAAATCAGTTTGCGAGTACGAGTAATGGGTGGTGGATTTTTCAGTAACAATCTGTTGCGATGTCATAATTCCTACATGTAACGCAGTTTTTGTACCTGTAGTTGGATCTGTGCCTAAAATACTTTGATCCGGGGTTTTCGGAGTTTCTTTTTTGAGTACTTCTAAATCCTCTTTCGTTATTAATCCTACGTCTGCGGCTTCTTCCGGCGAATACCTTTTTCCTGTTTTGGGATCAGTCAAAACAATTTTAGTTTCTACAAACATTTCAGATTGTTCTGGGGACTTTTCGCTATTAATTAAGGACTGAGAACCCTTCTTGGAATCGAATATTTGTTTAATTGACTTTGCGGCTAATATAGGCGTTCCTGCGATAGCGATTAAACCAAACTTCGAGGCTTCCGAGAATGTCATTCTTCTTCCGGATCTATCAATATAAGTTCCGCTATCTTTGTCTACGATGTTCTTCTGGATAGCCTCGTTTATGGTTAAATCGTTACCAGAAACTGGATCCTTTATTTTAACGGAATTTGGACTAATAGTTTTATCTGCGATTGCGTCGAACAGAGTTTTGGTTTTGTCTGGTAAAATGACTGTTGCATTTGAAGGATCGTATATAGCACCGTTTTCAAGTTGTATAGGACTCAAGTCTGTTTTGGAGTCTTTTATTTCTGTGTAGACGGGGGGATTTTTATCAATAACATCCGATACTTCGACGCGATCTGGTTGACCGGGTTCTTTAGTGACTTGCAAAAGTCGTTGACTAGATTGTTCCATTGGTACATTGTCGTCCAAAATTATTAAGCTCTTATCGATGGCTTCTTTCATGGTTATACGTTTATTATTTAAATTGTATCTACCTACGCTGTCTAATATTTTCTTATCTAAACTTCTAGTAAGGCTAATATGATCTCTTGATACTGGGTCTACAACTGTTGCCGAATTTGCATTGATTATTTGCATTGCAAGACATTCTTCGAAACTAACTAACCTATCTGTACCAGGTATTGTGAACAAACCAGTGATTGGATCAAACATGTTTAATCTAATGGAGTCCGATAACAACCAGCCGTCTGGTGGTAATTCAAAAACTTGCTTCTCCTTAGGTTTAGATACACTATTTTTGGGGTCTTTAAGTTTACCTTCGGGATCCTGCTTAATCTGAATAACGCTAATGGTGGTTTTTGAAGGCGAAGTACCTTTCGGATAAGCACCAGTACTTTTAGGATCTTGCACACCTGAACTATATCCATCTGGAGCTAATTTACCTTCGCTCAATGCTTGCACTATGGGAATAACTTTGTCGGATTTAAGATCACGGAAAGTTTGATTGTCGTTATCGATAAGGCCATGGTGGATAGCTTCCGTATAAGAAATAACATGCGGTTCGTAAGGCTTAGGATGCGTGACGTATTTCTGAATTTGTTTACTTGTTGTGCGACTCGTTACGTAAATCGTCAGCAACGAGTTAAGCAATGCGGCACCCTCGGACGTGATAAGATTTTGCGCAATAGCTTCATTTAAAGGCACAATTTTGTTTTTACTAATATCAATAAAATTTCCGGTTTTCGGATCTATGTATCCTCTAAAGACGGCCTCCAACACACTCAGTTCTCTGCCGTTCTCGAAAATACCGATTTTTCGCGTTAACATTTCGTGAACATCCGGTTTCACTTCGCCAGTTGCAACACCATCTGCGAACGAAATTAATTTACCGCTCTTAATATTCGTAACTAAACTACCGTTATCCTTTTTACTAATATACCCTTTGGCGCTAGCGGAATTAAAGCTTATGTAATCGAATTTATCCGGTGGACGAAATCCGTCGGTATCAAAAATGGATTTCTGTGTGACAGACGTGATGAATCCACGTTTGATTGCATCAGGAATGTCGATCTTTTCGTCGGTATCGTTATTTACATATATACCGTGTGGCAGAATAATACCCGAAGCGATGGCATCGCTTAAAGTTAATAATTCATCTCTAGCTACATTTGTAATTGACTGAATTGAATTAGAATCTAAAACGCCACGACTTACGGCTTCTAAAATACTTAATTTAGTTTGGTGCAGGGGTGACCATATTTTGCAATCGTTATCCAACAGATTCAAATCAAGGGCGTCTTTTAAAGTTAATGGTTTTAAAATCAATTGCCTGCGCTTCGCTTCAAGGAAAGGCAACTTTTCATGATGATACACGTATTTTCCTAATTTCGGATTTATAATTCCCTTTTCTAACGCTTCCAACAGTGTTATCTTGTTATCGGTTTTAGGATCGACTATTTCCCTTACTTGACCGTCTAAAACTTTTGTTTTTATCGCTGCGTCTACTTGATACTTATTTCCCGAGTTTCGATCCACAATCCAACCAGTTCTCTCATCGACGAGGCCGCGATTAATTGCATCGAAAAGGCACACAGCGCTGGTTTCCAGTTTAACTATGCTGTTTGTCAAATAACCGCGTTGGAATGCTTGTTGTGTTGTTATAATTTCACCAGATTCGAGCCGATAATTGCCCGTTAACAAATCAACTTTACCATCATCTATGGCTTTACTAAAGCTCATCGAATCATTTACCTTCATTCTTTTTTCAGATGGATCCATGAAGCCACCGTGTTCTGCTTCGTAAATTTCTCTTTGAATTGCTTCTAAGAGCGTCAAATTCTGCCCATCGCCTTTGATACCACATGGGCCTTGAAGTCTCTCGGCCACATTAGGATCGATCAGAAGACGTTTCTTGGCTTCCTCAATGGTAACTTGTGTTCCATCTTGAGATGCGACTATCTTCCCAGTTCTGACATCTAAAATTCTGCATGCCACAGCATCTCTGACCGTAATCACTTCTCCGGTGAAGGGATTAAGAATGCCGGGACTATCTATAATGTTGTCTGTTCCGATACCTTCATTCACTTTGTGCACCCGCTTCAATGATTTTATTTCAGTGAATTGCATGCTTGTATCAAAGTCTGGATCTTCTTGAGTTATATGGGTTTTAGTGGTATATTTATCTTGAGGACGACCGTTGGTGGTACCGTTATCCACATGATCTATCTCATTAGGCTCATCCTGCGTTATTTTCATAGACGTACCGTTTTCCCATTTTAATGATTTTGTTTGAATATATCTGTTAAAATTGTATTGCGAATGTTATAAATCAAATTGGTTCAAGTGGAAGTTAAAGGTAATAAGAAAGAAGCGAATAGTAAAAATAAAAAAACTTACTGTTTGCTGTAGTGTGTCGTGGTCGTGTAAGTTGTGCTTTGTTCAGCTGTGTTACTTATGTGGAACTCGGAGCGGAATGTTCGTATTGGTTGAGGTTGCATTTGTTCCATAAGTCGCTGAAAACGCAGCGCTGAGTATATGTTGAAAACGTTTTAGATTATATTTACCAATGTGACTATATCTCCAGGACATTTTGCTGCAATCTCTTCCAGTCTTCTGTAGAGTGTAGTACGTAGATACTCGTACTTGGCATTGAATTCATCCAGTTCAACTGCAACAGCATCAGCTCCAGAAGTGTCGTTGCCATTCCGTGCCTTGAAGGAAACCTCTGCGTCCAGCGATGGCTGGTACTCGAGTAATGACTCCCTGAATCGCTGCAGTCCTTTGCTCCATATCTAGTGTTAGGGTTAGAGAGTTGGTTAGGTTAGGTTAGTGCAAAGGTCAGTTGAATTTATGTAAAGCTGTGATATATCATATGTGTATTCATATCGCTTGTGCCACCGAAATGAGAATAACTCAAATATCATGTAAAATAATGTGTTTGCTACAGCTAAAGTGTAAAACGGTTGAATGTACGTTTGTAAAAGAAAAGTACGGAGATTGAAAAAGTATCCCTTCACCATCAAAATTTGTCTCTTCCAAATAAAAGATTGAATTTCAGAAGCTTGAATAACACTGCATGGCTATAAAATCACATATTTATAGTATGAGTATAAAAGGAACTCGCCAAATAGAGTATTACAATTAAGGTATAAGAAATAAAAGTATTGTGAAAAGCTAAGTAGAATGTGCAAATTTGGAAGAGAATTTTGTCTAAACATACCTATAACCACTATTAGTATAATAAATATATGTATATAAGAAAATGTTTTTAGTTTATTAACACACTGAAACTTAAAAATGTATTTCAGTATATTATTATTATTATTAAAGAAGACAAGTATAGTAATATTGAAACGAAAGAAACATATAGAGAATAGTCATTTATGGATGTGTTTTTTTAAATATTTGTATGTAAATCGCTCATTCACACAATTCACTCTCACTGATGCTTACTATATTCTAATTTAATCTAACCGACACAATTTTCTATAAATGTGTATAGAAAATTGTAATAATAATGATCCAAATTACATAATCAACATTTCTATGACAGTGAACTATGAATAAAAATAATCATGAAACTAGAAATGATATATTTGAAGAATTATTGATTAAGTAAAATGAAATTTGCGATATATTTGATGAAATATAATCGATAATTACCTTTCCCTCTCGGATGAAACGGCCTCCCTTGTCGTTAACATTTTCTACGTTAGGTGCACGGTCTACTACAGTGTTTAGAAGATTCTGTAAAAGTAAATTTAGTGGGATCTTAGGAAATTAGTTATTAGTCACCCGAGAACAGAGTGCCCAAAACACCGAATTCTCTTTTTAAAATATATTATCAAAGAGAACTTAAACTGAAACTACTTGAAGTGAATTATCTGTTTATATCAATTAATAGAACTATTTTCGAGAATTGCTACTAATAGCTACTCACTCTGGTTGCTTCTAAATTATCTTTGGCGCGCTCCTTAATCGGTTGCAACATCTCCAATTTTCCGTATTGCTCGTCCATCCAATCATCTTCGACCTCTTTGGCCTTCTGATATTTATTAAGTAATTTGTAAGCTGTTTCACAGCCACTAAACAACTTGGCTAATTGCGAACAAACATTACTCCACCTATTGTTAATCGTTTGAATTTCATCGTCCAACCTCTTCACATCAGCATGAGGTGTTCTTTGGCTAGGCCTCGATTTTTCGGTCAAACGCCTCGTGTTATCAAAGTCATCATTAAGTTGATCAATAGCGATCTGCTGCTGACTTACGGCGGATTGGAGCACCAATAGATCGTCGTGAACGCGTTCCAATGCCTTTTGTGTATTTGGCATTTCTTGGTACATAGCCAACTTGCTTTCGAAATTTGAGATTACTTGCGATGCTTCTTCCATACCTGTCAAAACTATTTCAATGCACTTGAGTCGCTCTACGTACAAGTGCGAGATGTTCCAGATACTATTCCACTTATTCAGAACCTTCTCCAAGTCTTTCTTATGTTGCGGCGTCTTCAATGTGATGCTGCGGAATGTATCTTTGACTTGCTCTATCTCGGGTTCTAGATTTTGTAAGCGCGATTCAAAATCTTTGTGTTCAAGTACCAAATGGTGTAAAGTATCCAAGTCTCTTGGCAATGGAGCGATCACTCGTTGATTAATGACACGCTCGGCTTCGTCCAGAACTTGTTGCAAGTTGGTTATTTGGTTGTTGAAGATGCGTCCTTGATTTCTGCTGTCTTCTTCGGCTCTAGCACGCCTTTCAAAGTCATCGAATAGCCTGTTGACTTCATCCATTTCTCTGCGAAGCCTTCTGAGTTGAGGATCTGTAGGATCACTTTCATCATACAGCCTTTCCGCATCCGTGTTCAGCGCATTACGGATAGCATTTCTCGGTTCAGCGTCAATCGCGATAAATTGTGGTAAATCCCAATCTTTGACTACTTTGATGGTGGCAAATATCATGTTTTGACGTAGACGCAGTTGTTTCTTCTGCCACAAGTTGCTTGAATGTTCGTATTGGCTCCTAAGATGATCGACTGCATCTAGAGCTTCATTATCTGGTGGGGGAATTACAAAGCAAACACCAGGTACTTGACAATCAACTCTTTTATCGTTGTGAACACGCCACTTAATACGTCCAGAATTATCGGTCAGAGTACAGGTCTTATTTTTTTCAATGGCAAACTGTAAAGAAAATGACATATTCATAAATAAATATAAAAGTAAATTATGTTAATTTTCAAACTTACGTTATTTTGCTTGTAACTGCAAAGAGCAATAACACTCAGTGGTCTTGTAACAGGCAGCCTCCTAAGTTTTAATGGCACAACATCTTGGGCGCGGACTGTGAGATTTTGGATTTGTTCCGCAAATTCGTTCAATTCGGTACGTAATGTTTGCATGCCTTGCAGCAATCTCTCGCCGGTGTCTAAATTGAACTCGCCCTGGCTATATTCACTATTCATCACGTCGTTCTTTTCCTTGAGCCATTGTTCTGCCGTTGCAATATCTTTGTAGAAGCTCTGATAGTTGTGGGCGTTCTTGAGATGTTCCTCTAAACAGTGGGTCAGCTGAAGCAACCACGCCCATTGCTCTTGCATTGCAGCCATGTGGGCTTCAATCAATTTGCAAGCGGGATGGTTTTGCAAGACGAGACTTTCTCCACGATCTTGAACTGCGCCGAATTGGATCTCACGCTTCTCCAACTCGCTCATCAAAGACTAAAGATAAAACATGTAAAAAATTAGTTTCATGCAAAATTATCTCAATAAGAAATGATTATTAGTAATGAATATGTAACTTATATGTACCTTTCCACCATTCCCATAAGCATACTGTATACAAATAATGCGTTTTTATATTATTAAGTAATTGAAGGAATAATAGTAGTAAATTTTATAATTACCTCGTAATACTTTTCCACTGCATGAAGATTCATGTGTATATCGGACCAGTCTCTGGACAATTCGATTTCCTCCTTTTCGTTGAGCCAATGCAATTCGTTTGTTGCTGATTGGATGAAGTCGACAAGACTATCTAAGTCGCTCATTCGATTATTGGAGAACGATAGCAATTCAGCGTATACCTTCTGCAGAGTGCTAAGATGTTGGTTGTAAAGTGACAGCTCATCGCCTGTAAAATATTGTCTGCCTCTCACACAAAGTTCAACTTTAGTATGGAAATGATCGATGTTTTTATGTTCGCGTAGATGATTATCGCGAGTGCTCTTGACGGATGGCAGATCTGTACCAAAATCAGCTTCTTGCAATTGTTTCAATTTGCTTTTGCACCATTCGATGGCCTCTTGGAGAGACCTGAAGTGTGGATTGGTGTCCACGTTTCTAGTTTCCTGTATCGTTCGCATATGTCTGGTAACGGTTCTCTCCTCCACTGGGAAGCTAAGGTTAGCAAGGGGTTCAATGATTCTTTGGTGCATGAAATGTTTCAACGACACCCATCGTTCGTGCAGTTTCTTTACACGTTTATCTAATTCGGATGACTGCGGGTATCTTCCGTTCGTCAGTATGTGGACGTCGCTAATTAGGGATTGGATGTGTTGTTCAGTGGTAGATAATTCCATATCTATTTGGTCGGCAATTTTCTTGGCGTCGAGCGGATGGATACGCTCGATCCTTCTCGATTCTTCGTCTATTCTTCGTTCGATCGTATCTAAATTCGCGTCGGTTTGTTTGATTTCCCTATGGACCTTCTGTGCTAAACGCTGCAAACGCTCCAAACGGTTGATCTC